TTTTTTAGAAACATTTCTGTTGTCACCAAATTATACATTTCTATTCGCCTCTTTGTTGGCATTTACGGAAACTTTCCTCAGTGTTCCAGCTAATCGGAAACAACATATTCGACGGCGTTTCAGTGAATAATCGATTTCTTCTTCAAGGTTAGTATTCGTCCTGTTTTTATGCTTTATTGTTTAGCATGAATCATTGCCGCAGATAATTTTGTTAGTGCTTATCATTACTATTATTATAGAATTACTGGTTATTTAATAAGTCAAGTTGTTTTATACCGTTTGTTTGACAACGTTTTTTCTGTGGTTTGATATACTTTTCAGCTCTGTCGTTACGGTAGAGTTTTTTTTATTGAATGTTTACAGTTAAGTAAACATCAACAAAGAATTAGCTAAAATTCCTTTGTGTCGATGTTAAAAGTTTTGCGTAAATTCTTGCTGCATTTCTGTTACAGCTGTATAAAAAGAATTTTAATTTTTTTTCAAATCAAGTTATACTTAACATCTATGAACTTAAGAACTTTTACCCGCACCACTAGTAGTTAGGAAGATTTTTAATTTTTGAGCTTACCGTGGATTATAAATTATTGTTTGTTATTTTGAGAATTATATTGTCTGCTGCCTCATTTGTGCTATTGAAAGGTAAATTTGTCTCGCATTGTGTACTAATAGAGCTTTTTATTTTTACTCGATGTTTCTTGCTTTCCTTAGATAAATCGTAAACCGGGCGTAAAAGTTATGGATTTCTGTACCAAACCTGAGTATTTTAGTCAACGAAGTTTTTTTGACTGTTAACTTGATGTCGTCTCAGGATTTGCAGTTTTTTTGTGTAGTAAGTGGGGGGGCCTAAATTTATTTGATTTTATTTGAACAGTTGGTTCTTTTATAGGCTCAAAGGAAAATGCCTTATAAATTCTTTCTTAGGCCATAATTATTAATTTTTATTTCAGTTCTTTCTCAAAGATCTCTTCGGTCATGTTAATATTTTGGAGTTATATTTTTGCTTTATATTAGTCTAGTTTTTAATACAAGGAATTGGACTTTGAGAAATTTTATGGTGTACAGATGATGCTTCTTATTTGGCTTTTAAATGTGGATTTTTTTTTTTTTCTGATGACTTTTATCGTTTATTATGGTATTCTTTTCAGTTATTATAAATAAATCTTGGCATAAATTTTGAAATCTATGTAAGATGTTAGTCATACAACAGAAACACTAATTTTTTAACGACATACATTTACTGAAGAATCAATTTTCTTAATCAGCCAAATTAGAAAAATTCTTGTTTGTTTGTTTTTTGAACGTTGAGTTCAATTAACTTTGGTTCCCGAGCAATTTTGGACACTGTGTATATTAAAGTTGATGAATTAGTTAACCATATTTTAAAAAAAGCTTTTTTTGTAGGGATTATTTTCTGTTTTTTTCAGTCTTATGGAACAATAATTAGATAAATTTGAGTTCCGTCGTGTCCGTTTCTTCTTATGCGTTATTTCTTGTGAAGACAACTTCAACAAAGACATTTAAAATACAGTTCAGCTTCTGCATAACCCAGAGAAGCTTTGCGCAGTTTCTTTTCACTGACTGCTGTTGAGCGAGGATGAGGAGGAAAATTACAATAAATTTTTTTTTTTTTATTTGAGAGTTCTTTATCAACATTTTTCTAGTACTTTTGTCACATTGATTGCCCTTAGAAAAGTAAATTTTCAACACTTACATCGTTATTTTAGAAAAAAAACTTGAAGACTTGTTTGCTGTTTTTTTTCTTGGGTGTATTTATATGTGCGTTTTTGTAGTACTTCAACAAGTCTAAGAGGGTTTCAGTTGAGGCTTGGCTTTTGAAAACGTTTGAACTTTAGAAATGTTAAGTTTAAAATGAGTGGCTTTATGCAGAATGCTGTTTGTTCATCGATTTTATTGGTAGAGTGAATTCTTTTTGGAGGTTGGCTTTTGCTTATTTTTCCTCATAAAGTGATTTTTATTGGCAGTTTTAGTGAGGAGGGTATAGAAATGAATAAAAATTTAATTGTATCTACATCTTCAAGTTCATTTGTATTTTAATTACGTGGGTTTTAATTTTCTTTTTTTTTTTTCTCGCTTTCAAAGAATTTTCAAGAATAAAAAAGTTGCTATGAGCAAAAATTTGACTGGGGTTATCCGGGGATTCGTTTATGATTATAAGTCTGTTAACTCTTATAGTTTATTGGCTATATTTAAGTTAGTATGAATGTGGTAGATTTGATTTGACAAATTAACGATTATGTTATTTGTTTAGTTGACCTACTGTTAGTATTGTTGTTATTGCTGCTGCTCCTGCTACTGGTTGGGGTGCATACTCAATAGTTAGGGTTTTTCTTCGGAAAGTTTTACTTTTTTGTTCCTGAATTCTTTTCCCTCCTTTCTTCACATTTATTTTATAGGCTGAATAGTAGTAAGTCTATTTGTGAAGCTCAGTCTAAACAGTGTGAATGCGAACGTGTTTTAAAAATGTAGTTTTTTTTTAGTGGATATTGTCAGCTGTAGAAAGTTAGTTTTTAGATGATTATTATTATTGTCATTATATTATTGTCATTCCTATTGTTTACTGCTGTTATTTGTTGCTGTTTTTATTGTTGACGATCGATTATTATGTACTCTACATGAACAGCTAATATATGTTGGATCTTAACCGAGCGTCGTACTCATCTTTACAAGTTGCAACAACAGTTCTGTAGTCGACTAAGTAGTGGAATTCATGTTGTTGAAACGTATTTCTCATCAAGTTTATTCTGATTTTTTATTTTTTTGGAAAAAGTTTTTTCTATCATATGGCTATTGTAAATAAAATTTTTTTTGAAATTTTCGCCGGATTATATGATGTTGCAAAGCAAATAGACTTTGTCTGCTGCTAATCATTTGATGGCTAAGTCCAACTAGAATTGGTCAGGCTATATTTATACCTGTATAAAAAATGTTGTTTGGTATTAGGTCATTTAAAATTTTTATTGTATGTTTGAACGGATTACATGGTGAATTTGACGGGAATTTCTTGTGTAAATAAGCTGTAAAAATTTCAGTTTTTTTCTTTCTAGAACGAAGGTTGAAAAGTGGTAAAATTGTTGAATTTTCGAGCGAACTTTAGAGAGAAATATTTTTTATAAACTTCAAAATCTTATAGTTTATTCTTGCATATAATCGGCTGATTATTGTTGTTTTTGCGGCATAGTCTAAAACTAGGATGATTTAATTGTCAAGCTGTTTTTTTTTCTTTACAACAATTTTGCACTTTTGTTTATTATTTTCATCATTTTTTTTACGGCTAATAATTAATGAATTTTCATGCATTTATGCTATGGAAAATGTAAATAGATACAATGTTGGCTGTATGGAGAACAATATTAGAATAATGTCTACCTTTATTATATTAGAATATACTAGAAATATAATATTAGAATAAATAGAATATTGTTTTTTCTTTCTAATATCAGATTAGATATCGAAATTGCATAGTAAATCATTTTAATAACGAATTGGCATTGTAAATCAGCTTTTTTCACTTGCATTAAATCATAAATTATTAGGCGGGATTACTGGAGGAGTTTTTATGGACGGTATAATTACAAAACATTGAATTTTGAACGATGATATGAAGTTTGAAAGTGATTTTTTAATTGTTGGTTATTCTGAATATGATTTCACCTTTTTTCTTTTTTATCGTAACTTTTTTTCACAAATAACAATCACCTGTTTACTTGAGCGATCGAAGAATTGAACGGGATTCAGAAGAAAAAGAAGAAGAAAGGTAGCAGCAGGTTGTGGATAATGAATTCAAGCAAAGTATGTTATTAGTGAGTTGAAGTGAATGACAACAGTAAAGCATTAAATCTTTACTGTCTCTCCTTCTGTATAATCTTCTAAATGCTTACTGTTTGCTGCTCAGCCAGTAGTTCAGGTTGACTTTTTGATCGTCAACGGTTTTAATTTTGTTAACAAAAAGAAATAGTTGAGAAATTTTTTTAGGTTTTTTATTCATTTTCAAATTTTTTTTGGTTTTTGTTTCTAATGATTAAATATATTGGTATTAGTCAAAATAATTGGTCAAAGATGTA